AGCATAAGATACTATGTGATGCGCACAGCATACAAGTATAGATCGGGTAGGACAAATGAGGTGCAGCATTTAAACTCCCAGCTGGCTCTGCTCCAACGCATGTATAAGGATGCGCGAGCAGAGATAAGCGTGCTAAGGGCAGAAAACAAGGAGCTGAAGCGGAAGGCCACCGTGATGTTCCGATTTGGAGGGCCGCCATATGCTGCAGTGGAGGAGCAGGGAGTAGTGATCATGCCCAGTGGAGTGGGAAACACGGAGGCAACACCGGCAAGGGCCGCCCAGGACGGAGGCAAGAAGAAGAGACCGGCGGAATAGGCGAAGAAGTGAGGTCGGTGGGTGGCCGTCTGCAGAAAAGAAAACAAATCGTCGGGTGTTGTGTTTTGGTGTTTTTTTTTTTTGTGTGTGTAAAATTGTGATCGGGGTTGAACCCTGAGATGAATAAATTTTGGTTTGGTGTGCAAAGCTATATGGTATGAAAGGAATTTGAAAAAGATTAAAAAAATGTGAAAGAAAAATAAAGAAAGAAATAATAAGAATATATGTGAAAGCCGCAACGGTGTGCGGTATAAAGAGAAATGATTGTATTATTGATTGATATGTTTATTGATATATATTACAATGATTCATGATTCCTATATATAGAAGAGGGTGAGTGTATAGTAGGTAAGGAGTAGGTGAAGTGGAGGTGGTAGTGGTGTAGTGGGTTAGGTTTAGTGGAGTAGGTGAGGTGGTAGTGGTGTAGTGGGTTAGGTTTAGTGGAGTAGGTTTAAGTGGGTGAAGTAGGTGATAGGTTTTAACATATGCTCATGCTTATATATAAGTATTTACAAATCCAATCATAATTAAGTTTGTTTCTTATCACTTCCTAATTTTTAACTTGCATTTTAAGAGCCACTTAAATTTTTAAGTGATACCATTAGTGGTTATTAAACGGGCTTAATTAGTGTTCACTTAATACATTCAATTTTAAGTGCTGAATTAGATTATCAAACACCACCTAAGTAACCAGAGAGAGAGAGTGAAAGAGAGAGAGAAACTAGGTCCTCACACCCTATAGTCGAACATATTGGTCTCTTTTTCTTCTAAGGCATATATGATCAGAAGTTAAGAGCAACGAAATTCTTCAATCTTCAAACCTATGAAACACGGACACCTCTCTGGAGCTAAGATACAGGTGTCGGACACGGACACAAACACGCACTGGACATGCTCGAACACGTGTCGGACAGGCTAGAGACACGCTGAGGACCATTTTTTTCAAAAAAAATAATTGATTAATTTTTACTAAAATAGTATACCTAAAGTTGATAAATTTGATAAAATTAAATATGACATAAAATAAATATTAAATAATTAAAAATATGACATATAATAAGTATATAAAACTATATAAGTTGCACGTGTCCCAAGCATGTCATGTCCTGCATTTTTAAAAAATTTGCGTGTCCACGTCTGTATGCCATGTGTCCATACTTCATAGCTCAAACATATAGATAATGTCCTGATACCATATTAATTAACTTTACAAGAAAAGCAAGATGAGAGAAGAAAGATACAATGAACAGCCAATGAAAGAGACCCAAAAAATTAGGGTTCTCTCCCATATGACACGTATTATTATTATTAGAATTAGAATGGTCCAAAGTACACAAATAATCCTTGGGCTACTAACAACTAAAACAAAGCATAAGCATATAACATATAATACTCAACACTACTCCTCTGCATTTATTGCACATTTATGATTAGAAACACTTACTATGAGTTATTTCACTTGGCAGATATTTATGTACTACGTTCAAATGTTGCAAGCATGTTGCAGAAAATAATTCCAAATATTGCTAGGAAATTCACACATAATAACTAAAATCAAATTGATATATATGACTGGATATGTAGTGAAAGATTAAATGGACAAAATAATAGCTGGGAACTTAAAAAAAGAAGAGGTCTAAGTTCCCATCATGGTTTGATTTTAAGATAAAATAGAGTGCTTCTAAAGAAGAAGGGAAAAGAAAAGAAAAAAGAAATTGGAGACACAACATCCTGAGTTTTCTTTGTTTGCAACTTTGCATGTAGAAACTAAATTCAGGACATTTGGAAAACAAACCTGAAAACCAACTGGGGGACTGGGGCCTTCACCAACTTTAATATCTTTATACTGCAAACCAGACTCAGTAGTTACCATAGGTACCTTCATCAATCAGAAGATTTTCTAAATTTAGTACTCCACCTCATCCACATAAGCCACTGATCAGTGGCAATCAAAATTCATTTCATACTTCGTGAATGTTGGTAGCTAATATGTTGTATAAAATTCAACCTTTGCAAAGTGATGTGTCAGAGGAGGTGCATACAATCACAGACAGGTTGTTTCCAGATAACATACAATACAAGGTTGATGTTAAAGAAACAGGACAATTCTAATTAATAAAGTTCTCTGCAAGGGATAAAATGGAACCGGTGAGAGTGGAATATGTCAGACAGTCATGGCAGCCCAGGTGAAACAGGATATCCTAATTAACAATAGAATGACTGGCCCTTCTTATAGATGTGCTAAACAAGAACGTGTCCACTAGAATTAATGTATTATCAAGTTTTGTTAGATGCCAATTTGGAGTTTCATTCCTTGACTGAATTCATTGAGTTAGCTTGAACCCATACAAACTTGCTTATATGAAGAGCATAAAACTAACTTAATAAATGAGTGTCAAGTGTGGTAAGTGTAATAATCAAACAAAAGGTAAGTACGCCCAATTTAATCCCCATCAGATAAGGGGTTTGGGTGGGGTAGATTGTTTATAGACCTAACATATGGCATTATTTGCACAAAGCAGCTGCCCCCATGTTCAAACCCACAACTTCAAGGTTGATAGGCCCAGTGGCCCCTGTTCATCAAACAAAAGGTCATATTATAATTTACGAAGTTAGGTTTTCTTTAATATTGGAACATTATGAAATAATCAAAGGTGTGATGTGACATGTTGGGACCCCCATAACAGATGAGAAAAACTTTTGAACCTTTTGATTTAAGCCCCTCTCGGAGACAAATGAAAAGCAAGAAAAGCTATAATCCATTTTTTTCAAATAAAAAATAAGAAGGAAAAAGAAAAGAGGAACAATGAAATGCAGATAAACATGTGTCCTGTGCCTTACAAGAGTTTCCACCAGGTCACTGAATGCAACTGTCTCAAATGCCATGGAAGAGGATTTATCCCAAAAAAAAAAAAAAAAAAAAAACTGCCATGGAAGAGTAAAATAAGCTAATTCCCTTCTTTTACTGATCCTCATGCAAATGCGAGAGAAGATGCTAGGTGATGTAAGACAAATAGAGACAGCAGTAAATTTGGACTTTTGGGGCTGATTTTAATTGGGTTTTATAGCCAAATCGCAATAAGAATATAGGGTTTTGAAGGGTTTGTATTGGGTAATAAGAGGGTAAGAGTTTAAGTACAAAAAAAGAAAAATGAGATTTTTGGCACTGTCTAGGTGCTGTATCAAGGGCCATGAACACAACCCGTGAACAGTGTTTGGGCTGTGGAGGTGCAGAAAATATGAAAGGGAAAGGAGAATAAAAGCCAGCTTTTTGACTTTTTTTTGGTTTTTTTAAAAAAACGTGCAAAAAAGTAAAGAGGTGATGTGACCCAAAAAAAGCCAAAAAACCAAAAACTGGCTTTTAACCCAATTGCTAAAATAGGCCTAAGGAGATAGTTTCTAGGAATTACTCCTAGAGACCTTAAGCATCACACTTAGGGTTTGATTGCATCACACAATCCATAAGAAAGAAGCTTCAAAGTCTTGAAATTTTCTATAATATTAACTCCATTAAGTTAGAAGCATTACATGGTTTTATATAGACTTTAAAGACTTTCTATTCCAACTAAAACCCAAAAATTGACTTTCAAAACCAATTTAAGATCAAATAAGAAACATAAATAAAAGCCAATTAAATAATTAGACACTTGAATTAAAGTAGGAGCTTGTATATTGAATTATTTTCAATGTCTTGTTCATGCCTTTTGTAGGTCAAGCTTTGGAAGAGAAACCTTTTGATCAACGAGCCATCTATGAGTAGTAATTCAGTAACGCCATGTTTGTCAAATTATGTTTTCAATGCAAAACTTGATTATGGTTATAAGCTTTGATATGTTTTGTTATAAATGAATATTCTATACTTTTTTATCATGTACCTAGATGGCGTTCTTGGATCATGTCCCACAATTGGGGGAATATCCAATCATGTATTATGGCCAATCTCGCACTTGATCCATTTAGCCGGTACCCGGGCCAGTTAAGCACTTTGTAATCCTTGAAATGTCTATCACTCTGTAATGTTTGCAAGTCAAGTATGTATACCTTGTTCAAGTTAAAGTTATGAACAAGTTATGTTAAATGTTATATTTCATGGATGTTCATTCATTTACCGCCTTACTTTATTACTATTCACTAGGCAATGGCTCACCCCTCTCCTTATACATATATATGTAGGTGATGAAGAGTTTCAAGTATAAAGAGAAGTTCGCTAGAGGCTGGTCTTGTGTGCTTGTGCTGAATTGTTTAAGTTGTGACTTGAGTATTGTATTTTATTTCATTATTAAAGTTATGCAGTGTTGTAAGATAATAGTTCAAGAAAAATATATGCTTTCATTTCATATAGTTATGCATTACTCTAAATGGATGTTATAAATGGATTCAATATAACTGATAATGGCTTCCACACATGAAAAAGAAATTTTGCCCCAATTATATTAAGAGTCCATCTTGCTTTCTTTAGTTAGGCCTTCGGTAGTTAAGGACTACTGGCCAATCACTACATCATCCTGTTTGGGGCGGGTTAGGGTCGTGACATGGTGGTTCTCAAGTATCATAGTAGCAAGCAACCTTTTATCCCAGGCACTCCCCTTCAAATGTCAATGTAATATTGTGGGGCCTGGTGGGCCTAGCCATACAACAATGATGGAAACCCTTGTCTCTCACAGTTGCAAGTCATAATGGGCCAAAGCTCATTTAAGGAACCAGTGAAGATAAAATGGGCCAAAACCATGTCAAGTATCACCAAAATAATTTGAATGGTCTACAATTGCATGTGAAAAGTGCGACAAGAACATAAAAAAGCAATATATATTACACGCACAAGTTCTAGAGAAAAAATTACATATAGAGATACACATGTATAAACAATCACAGATGTCAGAAGAAAATCAGGTATATGAAAGGGATAAACAAGATGGAATGTGCTTGGTGGTACATATCTTTAAGATTGTAATATTTGGAAGGGGATATTAAATTTGTATATCAATCTTTAACCACTGTTGAGTAAAAAATGATTGACAGCCCCAAGTTCTGAAATCTGTAAGGGGAGCCTCTAAATGCACCCCATAAATTTTGTTGGATGCCTCACATTTCATTTTTTTTAGTACCATCACACCCTTAAATCAAATTACCAAAAAGGATAAAAGCTCCTGATCCTGACAGCTGCCATTGCCATCCCCGATAGCCAACCCACATTTGGCCCCCTCCCCCCAACATCTCCTCACCCTCTCCTGCTCATTAGCTTCCCTATCAGCCCCCAGCCCCTCCCTAGGTCACAACCTAACCCCTCCCACACTCCACAGTTGCCACCTCCTCAACACAACTAGCACAACCCAACCCTACTTCTTCTCCTCTCTCTCTCTCTCTCTCTCTCTCTCTCTTGTTTTGGGGAAGAAAAGGGGTCCACTGCAGGGAAGGGTAGTTCATGGCAGGGAGAGGGGATGGGTTGGGGTTCATAACGAGTGAGGCAGGCTAGAGGTGGTGGTGGCTGGGTGGAGATAAGGCTAAGGTTTGGGGGTTAGGTGGGGGTAAAATTGAAATTAATTGGGGTGTTGAAAGAAAAGCAAGATAACTTAAATTTGAAAACGGGGTGTCCAACCAAATTTTTGGGGTACATCTATATGCAAAGTTGTTTGTCTTCCTATGAGGCAAAAGTGAGTAGTAACTTTCTAGAAATAAATAATTCATCCAAGAAAGAGGGGGAAAATTATAGAAAAAATAAGGAAAAATATATTTTGTTATAATATTGGCATCCCACTTTCATCCATATCATAGACTCAATTCCTTTCTAACTCTTCAAAAAAGTTCAATAATATAGATCATTCTCGTTTAATATATAAATTAATGTCTTCTAAGTGTGAACTTAAACATACAATGTGCATGAGTTGGCATAAGCATACATATCACAAGTGCCTGACAACAATTATCTTGAATATGAGGCTAAAGTTTAACTAGTTGTATTGAGGCTTGTCTTGAAGCAAGTCAAAGGCCACAAGACTTCCAATCTAATTTAAACATTACTTTGTATTGTGATTGTTCTAAGCATCAAAATGTTGTGTTCCTAAGTTTCTGTATATTTGAAATTCAAAATAATAGTCTATGAATGTTCTCTCTAATAATATTCTATAAGTTTTTGTATATTTGAGAGGGTTTATGACACATTCTCTTGCAGGATGAGAGTAAAACTTTTTTAAATAGTAGAAAAGATATAAATGAGGCCAATGTAATCTCACCATACATTTTCAAGCTCCTTTTCACAAGCATCATCACATAATCTTGGTTTTTCCTCAGGGGGAAGTCCAGCTCCATCAGCATTAAATGAGTTAATCAACAGGATTGAAGCACCCAATACCAACCCAATCACGTTCCTGCGCTTAACTAAGGTCAACTCATCCCCATTTTCCATAGTCATTGAAGCTCTTGCTCTAAATTCTGAATATGTGCATTGCACATTTGCAGCTCGAATTTTGCCTCCGGAAATGGTATGCCTATTGGTAGACAAGCATTTAGAAAATGCAGCACCTAGACCAATACACAAATCCTTTATTCAGAAATATAAACATATTTGACAGCAAAACATTAAAACAAAATTCCGTTCATCAAAATAGCTACAATCAGGATTTATTACTAGAAATTGATGGTTATCGTTTTGAGAAAACAATCAAACTAAACTAGTACCAAAAGAAACAATTAAACTGAAAGACCAATTCTGCTTATGTGTTCAACAAGAATTCTATGAACAATTGCTTGGTCTGTCAACAAGTAAGAATCCAGATTCAAGTATGCGATCAGGTCCTGTTTTGGTCCACCTAACCCAGAACTCAACATTAGCATATATCTTGATAGTTCAAACCCCCTACCACTTGAGGCTCCATTTGGATACATGGATTTGAAATGAATGGATTTAATGTATAACTTTATAAAAGTATAAGAACGTTGATTAACGTATATAGATTGATAATTCTAAACTAAAAGATGCATAGAAATAGGAAAGATACATTTTGTTAATATTAATTAGTTATGTTTTATTACATTTAATAAGTCTTCAAAATTGTTAAATTATGTAAAATATTAATTATAAAGTAGTTGTATACATCATTAAATGCATCTTAACTAGTGCCCCAGGGTCACTTGTTAGCATTAGTCTGTTTTTGTACAAGTAGAATCATTCATGAAAGGATTTCAAATAACCATGCTCACTTAGCTATTTCAAATCTATCAATCAAAAACTCCCAAAACCATTGTTGAAATCCATACCTAGAATACTACATTGAATTAAGGCTCCATTTGACATTAATCATTCAAGAAGAAAGTAATATGAATAGCTCAGATTTGGATATACTAGTTTACCAAAGTATTTCAAGATTATATTAAAGGGCTTTATCATGATGCATTTGAAATACCTATGCAAAAGTAGTTATTTAAAATCATGTTAAGGATTCTCCTTTTAGCTACAAATATGCAACAAAAATACTCTTTTTTTTTTCTTTTCTTTTTTTATCTAGTTTTTCTATCCAACATTTTTTTATAAAATCCAACCTCAAATCCCTTGATTTGAAATCCACAAACGAAGCCTAAAATGTAATTCTCCTTAAATGTGTGATACTAAATCCATTCATTTAAAACTGTGCAATAAATTGATTTGATTGATTTTGAACTGTTCTGTCAATTTGCACAATGTGAACTCAACTTTTCCTAAATATGGCCCAGCAATGCATGCTATTAATTATAAACAACTACTAACAAAACGTGAGTCCACAAATCTTGTAGTTTCTTAAATTTTGTTGAATCAAAACCATAATAACAGCAAATGCGAAGACAACAACGAAATCAAATTTTCATGTTTTTTGAAGCATTCAACACCTCCTAAATGCACAATTAAGTTTAAGAACATCTAAGCAACAACACAATCACTATTGTAGTGTGTTACCGAGTGGAAACAGTAAAGATGAAGCCATTTTTTCTTTCTTTTGCGAACAAGAACACGGAGGTCGGTTGAATGTGGATAACGAAAGCGGCGGTCGGTGGTGCTTATATGAAGGCAATATTGTGTCCGTAAAAGTAATCATATATATATAGATATTTAAAAGTAATTTTTTTTTTTTCTTCTTTGGCACATTCTAATAAGTCTTCAATATTTATAGCCAAAGGGCCTCTTTGGTAGCGTTTACGTTTTCAGTTTATATTTGTAAAAATTTTATAAATTGATTTTTGTTTATTTTTAGAAAAACATAAACTACAAACGCATTTGGTAATTGACAAAATGTTTAAAA